GGCAAACGAAAGAAATAGGAGAGGGCACCGTAACAGCATTAAGCATGAATTGCTAACTGTATTAACAATTATTACTGTGTATTAATCTTTGATTATGTACTTATAACAAAGTTGGGTAGATTGTATCTTGATTATCAGGAAGTTTAAAATATTATCCATTACAAGAGACAGCTGCTCCATTTGGATAAAATGCAGGCTACTATGTTTGAAAAAGCATATGAAGATGGGTGAGGAAGTCTCAAGGAGGCGGCAAAGAATTACATACAGAGGAGATTAGCATATAAAAATATTGAGTGGACCACCACAAGGGTTGGTACTAGGGCCTATCGTGATTCAAATAAGCATCTAAAACCTAATACAAAATGGGCTTCTTTATTTTAGTGTTTACCGATAAAGCAAAACTAATAAGAATTGGAACAGAGGAGAACCTCTCATGGTGTTCAAAGGGACTTGATAAACACCTCCAAAGGATACCTGATCAACTGGGCTGTGATTCCAATGTCAGGCTGCGAGCAGCTGTATCTTATCAGCTTGGTTGACCCTGACCTTGGTTGGCCATCCAGGAGCCTCGTCAGAGACTGGGCAACTGTGACATTGAGCCTCACAGCCAACAATAGGTAAACACAAGGGAGTTGGATTACTGAGCCCCTCTTAAGATGAATGCCCCACATTGCAAGCAAACCATCTCCAGCTCATGAACCATGGTGGGTGCCCACCACATACGAAGCAACCGACATTCCAGATCAGCACTGCGGTTGCTAAATGAACCATAATGCAATTGCATTATGAGCCAATGATTTTATCTGGTTAACTGCTGTTTAGACAGTTAAGGTTAGAATTGCTTTTTCCTTGTACAGTAGAATGATCAAGTTTGTTGCAAAATGGAAATACAGTAAATGGAAAAGTGGAAATAAACTAAATGTCTGTATTGTAGCCACTTTCATGCACTTCATAAGTTGAGTGTGGTGACCCATCCCCCATCTGTCAATGCCAGAATGTACTCGATAAAACACACTGCTCAAGCCCCACACACTCGGTATTGGTCTTGGATGTCTAGATGATCATATGTATGTATATATGAATGTATGTACTGTATGTATTGATGAGTGAGTCTGTAAGTACAGTACCAATGAATAAATGCATCGGTGGATATATGAATAAATTAATGAATATATCAATGAATGTTTGTATGTATCAATTAATGTGTGTGTATAAGTGAATGAATAGATGGATGCATAGATATATGGACAGAAAGGTTTGTAAATATATAGATGGATAGACAGATGGAGAAATAGATAGAGATGGATGGATGGTCGGATGGATGGACGGACAGATGGGGGAGAGATCTGGCAAATGCCAGGCACCCTGTAGTACTGCTAAGTGAACAGAGGCACTGGGTGGAAGGAAATGTGCCCAACCATATCTTTCCTGTCCAGGATTTTAACTTGGTATTCCCAATTGTGAGTTGTTCTATATGCTGTATTAGTATTTGCTTCACATGATAAGCTTTGCTTCTTGTGTAGTCTTAACCGGTCCCGTTGAATTGCTTGTGCCTAGAGATAGTGTCTTTGTGTTCTCTGGTGTTGCCTCTGCAACACCAGGTAAGAGAACCAGGATTCTCGTACCTGTTGAGCTTTTGTGAGGGGCAGTCTAGGTTTTTTTTTCAGGATCACACAGGGTGCTCACATGCTTGTTTTACAGTGTGCCACTTGTGCTCTCTACACCCCCTCCCTATGCCTCTAAGCTGTGTTTAGTATCTGTGATATTCAGTGAGAGCCTCTGTGCCTAGTACTTCCTGTTTGGTCTCTTTTGGAACCCAGCAAACCCCATGTAGTTTTTGGAGGGGCATTATGAACCAGCTCTCACTGAGTGTGTGTGAAGGCTGTGCCTTGATCATCTTATATTCCTTTCTTAATGTCTCTGCATGCTGGGTAAGTGATAAATTTTACTCTAAAGCCTGCAACATGTGCTATTATTGGGTCTCTGGTTTTGATGTACTTCCCTCTGTGGACTCGGCAAGGTTTTCCTGTATGCGTCATTGCAGTTGGGTGTTGATGTGGTTGCCCCGTTGTCTTACCATGATCCAGATTTTGGTTGTTTCCAGTTGCTGGTTTCCACCTGCATCAAGTTTGCCTCTTCATCTCCTACTTTAGACACGGCTAATGGTATTTAGCTTGCCTTGGGGCAAGCCTTGTTGCTCTGGGCTTTAGATTGGTGATTCTTTTGGTGAGGCTGGATCATCTCTAGGGACCACTCCTACCACTTCTGTGGTAGGGCAGTTAGGTTACTGCTTTTTGCAAAGGATCTTTTGCCTTCTGTTTCTTGGGGGAGGGAATTGTGTCTGTGGATCCTTTCCAGAGGAGACATTTTTCTGTCCTCTGCATCTGGCATAGAACATGGCTCTGCCTTTGAGTCTTCATTTATTTGGGTGTCCAGAGTTGGGGATGATCCCAAGGTGGGTTATTGGGTGCCCTTCTACCCTGAATGGTTTTGGGTTCCTCTGATGAGGGGTATTTCTCTGAATGTGAAGGGTTTGTTAAACCCACCCTCATTGTTTGAGATGGATTCCTCAGCAACCCTGCCCCCCTCCCCTGTGTGTGCTTAACACTTTCGCGCTTAGGATTATCCATGAGTCGTCACCGTTTTTTATGCGTCACCGCATAACAGACGACGCCTGTAGTCCATCGAAAAAATATTTGTATAAAATCCATTTATTATCCGATCAACTTGGGAATAGTATACAAATGTTTGCCATGAAATTTACGTTTTCTCTAATAGCCGAACAGCTTATAAAAGAAAATGGTGTGGCAGTGAATCATCGTGGTAAAACAATTGTATTATTGATACGACGAGTGTAATCGACGTAGTTTTTATATATGTTGCCGGTCGAACGCATCCTTATGTGACCTTTAATACTTATGTTCTTATAGAACATTCTATTGCGAGCGCATTGGTACAAAAATGAAATACATACATCGACAAATAATGTCAGGACAGTGAATTGAATATACACTTTTCAAAGCGAGTTTCGCCGATATGCTGCCGCGGGTAACACTTCGGCCACTTCCCACATTGTTTTGGGTGGGCTACGACATTAAATCTATATTTATATGCATATGTCCGTGTAGAGAATTTTATTGCGATTCCAATGATACCACAATTAGCGATGTAGAACAACTGTAGGCTTCGCAACCATTAAGAAAGTGGAAACATTTTGTTGCTGTTTGGCGCTCTTGGCGAGTGATCTGAATAGTTTTTTATTTGGTGTTGACAGTCCTTATGCTTGGGCGCCATTTTATAGGTATGCTCTTATAGACAATTTCATTGCGAACACAGTGATATCAAATTTAAATACGTGGGCCTTCAATTATTGTCAGGACAGTAAAAAGAGTGTACACTTTTTCGGTCTTACCGCGTAGGCGCGCGAAGTGCCGAAAGCATCTGGGGTATTGTTTTTTTTTGAGAGCCGAGAGCGCGAAAGTGTTAACTTAGTGGTGCACATGGACCCGTTTTGCTTCCTCCTTCAAGATCAAGGCTCTTGTGTCCTTGATGGATTGACCTTTTGAATTCGTGTCTGCCACTTTTTTTCTGGATGTGGTACGAGGTTCCTGATTGTTCCTGGCTTGCAGGCAACACACATTTTTCCTTGGTGGCCTGGCATGGCTTTTTCCATACCAGAACACTTGGGTATCTGCAGAGTGCTAGTTGTTCAGTACTTGGTGAAGCTGTTTGGTCCATTCTGGGCTTGTGTGACTTTGAGATGGGCTACTGTCTGTAATTTCTCTCTGCCCTTGATGAGTGTCCCATTTTGTTTGGTTCTCCATGGTAAATTAATGATGACCTCCCTAGGAGCTCTCCCAGAAAACCAGTGTTGAATGTAATGAAACGTCTCTCTGGTGGGTTGTTGGTGGCTCCCTGGACCCTCCTTTCCCATTTTTAGGAGCTTCGGCTTTTCATCTGCCTGGCTAAAATGACTGGTGTATCAGCTGGGGGTGGGGGGGGGGGGCTGATTAGAGGTGCTACTTAGCACATAACTAGCTAGTGAACTACTACATGATTGAGGAGTTCATTTTGGTGTCTTGTTTACTATGTTTTGTTTACCTTTTTATCATCTGTATTGTCTTGCTCACCTTTCTGGTTACTTTTTTCTTGGTCTGAGTGATCTAGTATCCTTGCTAGTATCACAAGGGCCTGATGTAAACTGAATTGGGTAGAGCTATCCAGGTAGCTAGCAAAAGATGAGCCACAAGGGACCCACCAGAAAGAGGCGTTTCATTACATTCGATGCTGTTTGTTTTTTTGGCCACTTAATAACACATTCTTTAAACATAAATGTTTAATACTCACTTCACTTTCCAACAACTTATGCTCTACTATACATAATCAAATTCAAAATTCTCTAGAGATGCAATTTTGCAAGAAAATACTATAATCCCCAAATTTTACAAAATATAATGTGGCATGTTTTTTATCCCTAGATGCCACAGACAACACAGTAGACTAGACCCTAGTATCATTCAATAATCTGTGCTCAACCCACGTACTACATAGCAAAGAAATTACGTGCCTTTTATATACTGTACTTGGTTTAAAAGTGAATAAGCGTGTTTCACATTTTTAAATCTACATTTCTCAGGTACTGCGCAGAGCAAGGGTTGCTAGTTCATCTTTACCTCAGACCCTTCTTTTCGTTTATGGTTAGGCCTATAGTGACACTAATAGCTGCTAGCTTATGGATGCCTTCACTGTATTCAAACCAGGGATGTTTTTATATTTAAGTATTTTTGTACACGATTGTTGTTTTGAGAGAGAGATTCCAGGCATATCATTCCAGGTTAGGTCTAAAACTGAGATTTGTGGTAATCATTAGTAAGGAGAGCATTAAGATGCACCTTGTTTGTTCTTAAGATAATGCTGTATAGACCACTGAATTGGAAATTTATGTATACATAGATTAGATATCAAATAGACTTTACTGATGATTTGATTCTTGTTGTCAGAGACCACATATAACTCATCACATATGGACCTTAACCTTGCTAAAGCTGGGGTCGACTCTCCTTGTGCATAGTCGAGTATGAAGGAAACTGGATCAGCTGCAAGTCTAAAAGCTGCCCAAGAAGCAGCTGCAAAGGTCTGTAACAAATGTTGCATTCAGTGTGTTTAGGTTGGTCCATTAAAAAAACAAACTACTTTCTTAAACAAATATGACATAGTATTAATATATTAATGTAGTGCTCATAGATTAATCAAAAGCAATTTGTATCAGGGAATTAGGAAACATATTGTAATGGTAATTTTGCTCTTGCACACGATCTGTCGATCTATTTATAGCACCTTGTCCCATCTGGCAACTACCCGTCCTTGAGGGGTGACCACATGCATAGCACAGTGTTTCTTCCAGCACGTTGCCATTCTTCAAGGGATGGTCATATGCATAGCATCTCGTTTCCTGTGGCAAGTTGCCATTCATCGAGGGGAGGTCATACACAAAGCATGTTGCTTCGTTTGGTGAATGACCCTTCTTCAGGAGGTCATGTGGAGAGCATCTTGTTTCCTTTGACAAGTCGCCTTTTTGTTCAGGTCATATGCAAAGCATCTTGTTTCCTATGGCCTGCCTTTATCCTTGAAATGGAGGTACTGTACTATGCAAACCTTCAAACCCAGACTCCTAATTATAGAGGGGAAGGCCACAGTCAGATCTTTCCTCAGACATTTACAAATTTTTTTCATGGGAAAGGTGGTTAAATTTTATGTACAGTATATTCAGGTTTTTCAAAAAGACTTGAAAGAGATACTGAATCTGAAACTTTTGTGAGGAATTATTGCATGCTGGTGAGGCTTTCATAAAAGTAGAGCAGGGGCTATTTGCTTTACAGTGCTGTGCTTGAAAACAACAGTGTACAGTATGTACAGAAAGAATGTCCTTGGCAAATACATTTGAATAAGAAATTCGGACAGAAAAAATCTGAAAACATGGAGTGGCACAAGGTGAAAAAAATGTGATAAAATAGTATTTGTTAAAATTCAAATACAGTACTGTACAGAGTTAGAGATAAGTGAATTAAATGAAGAAACAGCAGTGTAGTGTGGGTGGGAAACCTACGCATCGAATTGGGTAAAGGTCTTCACACCGCCATAGTAGTGCTGCCGTTTGATTTACTGTCTTATTATAAATCATCACTAGGAATGTAAGGGTTTCATTAACCCCTGCACTATGCACCTGTTTTTGGCAAGAACTTCATAGTGCAATTGTTAAGGACATACTGTATTTTTTTTTTTTTTAAATGTTCAGGTAAAGCTAATGTTAAAATGTTTCCAAACTCAACTATTTTCATTCTAAAACACAGAGTGATGAAAACATTAAAAAACATTAAAATATAGCCTAATTAAAAACAAAACGGACAACTCTCTAAACAACATTTGTCGTTTGGCACAGTGCAGTGGTTAAGCAGAAATAATTGTATAGTTCTCCATAAAATTACAAAAATTCTCTACAAAAAAAATCCCAGTAGTTAAATGTGCAATTCATTCACTAATACAAATGGAAATTGCTTTTTGACTTTTTGAACCAAGGACATTTTGTCCATCTAAATCCTGAGTTTGTAACATTACTCGGTGCTGTTCAGTGATTTAACGTTTCATTCTGGTGTTAATGTGCATAAAAGAGCTGTCATTTTCAAATAATCAGTTGTTTGCAAAACTATGAATCCCTTTGCAATTGGATTAACATTGACCCTAGCTGATATGTTAACAATACTGTAGTCTGCATTCTGGTATATGAGTGTTGTGATTATTATCAGTAAAAGGAATTGTACTTAGGCTTTAGCTTAAGGGTTACAGTTTTAAACTGGAGCTGGATTACCACATATAGTACATGGTCAGGCCATTGGATGAAGTAATTAAATGTTAATGCCTTTGGCAGTCTCTCTCACAATACAGTACTCAAAGATGCAGATTTGAAAACTATGCACAAGTGAGATTCTTCACGACTAAGGATTTCATGTGGCATATTGATGATTGATTAGAGAATTCAGACTGGTCTATGAATACATTTTAAATATTACAAATTTTAACAATACAATGTGGGAAAAAAAAGGCATACTGTACTTAAAATTTGGTTGTAATTTGCAATTAAAATGCATAAAATTCCTTGGTAAATACAATATGCTTATTTGTTGTAGTTATGATACAGTACACTATACATTTGTAACATGTATAAGCTTATATTGGGTAACTTCAACCCCTCCCGACCAAAAATTTAAATCTTGTATATTGTCTTGGTTGTACATTTATATTATATGTTTTGGGAGCACATACATAGCCTGATTTTGTTACTTGAACCTTATTTTCTAATAGAAAACCATACAAAAGCAATTCCATTCCATATAAAAATCAAACCTATAAAAAAGCACAAAAAAAGTGATGTCTAATGACCTAACATTTAGGGAGCATAACCAAGCAAATACTGTATAGCATCAGTAAGAAAAATTATAGGATGGATTACAAGAACTCTCAAATCCAGGGATCCCATCACAGTGGTTGTACTGTTCTTGAGTACTGAAATTGAAATTGAAATAAATTTATTGAGGTAAAATACACACAAAGGGATGAGGTAGCTCAAGCTATTCTCACCCCGTTCAGTACATCGTGTTAATACATACATATACACACATCACCAACATCACAAACAATAAACATATTACCAAACATTCTGAGAGATAAACATCTACATTTCCTCATTCTTGAGTACTGTCCTGTCTTGAGTGCTGCTCGATACTCAGTTCCCCCGTCAGAGCAGGAGAGATTGCTGAAATAGTGGGAATACTGTACAGAGAACGTATACAGCATACATAGGGGTGCCTGACAACTGGGTGGACAACGCTTCAGTTTCATAGTCCTGAGGTTCCGGGTTCGATCCCCGGTGGAGGCGGAGACAAATGGAAAAAAAAGTTTCTTTCACCCTGATGCCCCTGTTACCTAGCAGTAAATAGGTACCTGGGAGTTAGACACCTGCTACGGGCTGCTTCCTGGGGGTATGTAACAAAAAGGAGGCCTGGTCGAGGACCGGGCCGCGGGGACGCTAAGCCCTGAAATCATCTCAAGATAACCTTAAGATAAGAAGATACATAGACATGATAAAGCATCTAAATTATTGGGATCGTCTTGAAGCTCTCCAAATGTACGAGACAGGAGACAAGAAAGTTATCAAATAATATACATGTAGAAAATACTGGAGGCCAGGGTCCCAAATCTACACAGTAAAATAACAATATGGAAGGAAATGCAAAATAGAACCAGTGAAAAGCAGAGGTACCATAGGCACAAAGAACACTGTATAAACAACAGAGGTTCACAGTTGTTCAACATACTCTCAGTAATCATAAGAAATATTGCCGAAACAATCGTAGACAGGTTCAAGAGAAAACTGGATAGTTTTCTTCAAGAAGTCCCGGACCACCGGGCTGTCGTGGATATGTGGGCCTGCGGGCTGCTCCAAGCAACATCCGTTTGGACTGAGCTCTCACAAATCATGCCTGTCCTTGGGCTGGGCTTGGGGAGTAGAACTACTCCCAGAACCCCATCCAGGTACAATCCAGGTATGATCCCATCTAGAAAGAATAGGTTCTTTTCTGGCAAGATATATAAAAAATGCTAATTTCAAAATGTGTTTTGTGTTGCATTTCAAGTTTCTGTATCACTACTGTAGCTGAATATATCCTGTAAATGGGGGAATTTTCCTGTATGCATATACGGTGTGATCGCAGTACTCTTGGATTTTAGTCCATTTGATTTAAAATTAAACAAAAATTGCAAGTAGAAGAGATACTGTATGTACCAGCAGTTATCATCATGAGAGTGCAGGTGTGAGCAAGAAGAAGTGTCTAGACTCCTCAAGGGTGGCTGTCATCAAAACTGTCACCTCACACATGTGGGGGGGGGGGGGAAGAATAGAAAAAGGTCCTATAGAATAATTCATTCACATGGATTAAGTCTCATAAAGCTTATCTTCTGGTTATGTGAGGCGTACACATTAGCCTAATGGAAAGGTCACTGAATGTGTCAGCGTTAGATAATGCAGTTTGGTGAATCTTGGTGCAGCGGTGAAGAGTCAAATTATAAATTTTGATTAATACGCAAACTAGTAATATTTATTGGTTTATGTATTGTGTTGACTTGATTTATGGATGTAAATGACAAAGCAGTGATTTAAGTGCTGTATATTGGCCTACAGTGTAATATGTATACTGTACCTATATAGAAAATAAGCCTGCTTCTGGCACTTGGAGCCTATTCTGGCTCCAAGGAAATGTCTTGACACTCACTCTGTTGTTATTTTGTCTATTAGTCTATTAATTTTGTCCAGAAATAGATTCAAACAAACAAAAACGGAAGCCTGGCTGAGGACCGGGCAGCGGAAACGCTAAGCCCTGAAATCATCTCAAGATAACCTCAAGAAGATAACACTGGTGGGAACACCAAATTATTAATATTATTAATAACGATATTATTGGGTTAACTCCATTACATTCATGTAGATATGTGATACCCTGTAATCATATTTATATAATTTGAATAATAACTGGGTGTTAACTGATATTGGCAAATGATAACTGTATTGGCCCAGGTAAAAACATATGATAAATTACCTTTAATGGTTAAGAAAGGGAGAGAGAAAAAAAAAGAGCCTAGTTGATTTAGAATACAAGCATCTCTTAATTTATCTGGGGTTGCATTCTTACACAAAAGTGCAAATCAATCTTAGGGTTACATTTAAGAGAGACATTCTTTAAAAGTTTTGCATTCCGATGATGCTGAAATTCTTCATCCGATTGCTATTCATAAACATTCGTATTTTCATCACTGTTGTACATAATCTGCTTTAAAAACACTTTTGTTGTTGCATCTGTTTTCTAGTGAATTCATCTGCGAGTATTTTGATATCAAATTTTTAGTTATAACCTAACAAATAACTTTGAAAATGTAAAATGATTGTAAACATTTTAAGTATCACTGAGTGGGACCTACCGAATCCACTGTACACGGTCAGGAATGTGTGTGTAGAGGATCACAATCTATTCTAAATGCACTTTTGTCTTTGCATTCATTCTCTAGAGAATTGATTTTTAAACA